CGTCTAAGGAGTGGGCTAGGACAGTGGAGCTGGGATTGGAGAAGGAAGGTCACACATGAGGGACATTTGAAAGGTCAGGAATTCTTACCTGACTGTATTTGAGGTGGGGAGGGACAGAGAGGAAGTCCAGGATGGGAGATGCTAGGATTCTCTCCCAGAAATTGGAGCTGTAGAAACAGCCCTGCAATGAGGCTTTGCTATTCCTGGTGTACCCTGCCACAGCGAGGAGCCTGGCGAAGGCCGGACATCAAAGATGAGGATGGAAAACATACTGTGCTCCACTGGGCCAGACAGATACCAAGAGGAACCTCCCACATCGTCCCATCCTACCACCATCACAATCAAACTGGGTGGAGGGGAGAGCAGGAGGAGGAAAGAAAGAAAAAAAAAGGGGGAGTGGTACGTTCCCGGACATATGGTGAGCACATAATTAACATCCTAACTGGGACATTACTGAAAGCGACAAGGGTGCTATTAGTAATTTTACCAAGACCTATCAAATAGGCTTTTTCTCCTAGAACAGCTTCTCCCTCCTCTGCTAGGGTTGGTGGGCTATGATACTTTTTCCTTCTCAAACTCAGTGGAGGAAAGGGACTCTCCTGAGAACAACAACAAAACTACTACATCATCTTTATTGAGCACCTACTAGTGCCAGGCACCATGCTAAGCTTCCTGCCACTTGTATTATCTTATTTAATCCCATAACAACACAATGAGGTAGGTAATATTTTTACCTGATGAGGAAATTGAAGCGTAATTTTACAACTGAGGAAATTGAAGGATAGAAAAGGTTAAGTCACTCATCCACAGTCACCCAGCGAGTACATGATGGAGCTGGGACAGGCATCCAGGAGGTCTGGCTCCAGAACCCGTGCTCCTATCCAGACATCCCCTCCCTTCTAGGGAGCTGGAGGCTATACCTGTTCCTGGTTGGGTCCCTGCTATGTCCCCATGGACTGGTGAGCCTCAGGATGGGCTGTTGCCTTCTCTTTTATCTCTCACTGGATGACACTGGTCTATTTTCACTGAGAACCCTGAGGTCCAGAGGCATGCATAAACACTCACAACTTCCTGCCCAGACACACCTACATACCTGTCCAGGTGTAAGCTCACCTGCACCTACATCCATCCAGTCTCCAAGGACAGGAGTGCTCTCCTCCTTTGTCCATAGTTCATCCCTGTGCTCAAGTCCAGACCTCAGCCTCTCTTTGCACTGAATCTTTTTCTTTCCTGGCTTGAAGAAATCCTCTATTTGTCTCACCCAGTTGTATGCTCCCCAGGACTACAGGACAAAAATCCAGATTCTGTTTTGTGAGAGTCAGGGCCCTTCTTTTTTTTTTTCTTCAAAGATTTTATTGTGAAATTGGGGAAGGGAGCATTGTGTTATTTCCAGGACCCATCAGCTCCAAGTCAAGCTGTTGTCCTTCAATCTTAGTTGTGCTGGGCGCAAGCTCAGCTCTAAGTCCAGTTGCTGCTTTCAAACTAGTTGCAGGGAGATGCGCAGTCCACCATCCCATGTGGGATTCCAACCAGCAACCTTGTTGTTAAGATCATGTGCTCTCACCAGCTCAGCAGCAGCTCAGCTCTGGCACAGCTCACTGGACCATGTGGGAATCAAACCGGTGACCCCGTTGCTCAGAGCTCGTGCTCTAACCAACTGAGCCACCTGGCCAGCCCCAGGGCCCTTCTTGATCTGGCCTTTCTCCACATCCCCAGTTGCTTCTCTCACCATGCCTGCATGGTGCCCTCTGCTCCATCCAGCTCCTCATCTGTAAAATGGCCTCATAACAATCCTAACTCATAAGAGTATTAGGGAGATGAAATGCTCTATTGGATGGCAAACACTTAACATAGTTCCTGACATAAGGTAAATGTTCAAATAACGTTAAGGATTATTATTATTCCGATGAAGGTGGAGAAACCTTGGTGGGCTTCACAAAGGGAGTGGCATTGGAACCAGCCATTGAAAGATGGAGAAGAGGTGGACATGTGACATTGTGGGGGGACCGGGAATGCAGGCAGGAGAAACAGCACGAGCAAAGCCATGTGGAAGTCAGTGCTCATGCTCTGAGCACTCAACCTGGCTGGGCCCAGAGGTTGTAGAAGAGGAGTAAAGAATAAAATCAGGAAGTGTGAAGCTAGCCTGAGTTTGGACTTTGTTCTGAGGACAGTGGAGGGCCATGGCGGATGCTGGGAGGGAGTGATTACCTCAGCCACCAAAATCTTGCTGAACTTTTGCATCAGCTCCTGATCCCTACCTCCTCTCTGATCCCACACTATAGCCACAGGAGTCGTTTGGAAACAATTCCTCTGAGCCAGCCTTACATCATCACCGGCACCCACTGCTTCTAGGATAGGACCAACCTCCTCTGTGTGTGAGCAGAGCCCTGCCTGGCCTGGCCCCACCCACCTCCTCCTCCTCCTCACTCTCTCAGCTCCATCCACACTGCCTTTGTCCAGTCCCTCCTGCTTCCTTCAGTCAACAACCATGTAGTGAACATCTACATATTTGCCGTGCGGGGCCTCCCTCAGGGCCTTTGCACATGCTGCTCTTTTTGCCTGGAATACTCTCCCTTTGGAAAAAAGAAAACAAAACCTATTTAATTCTTACTCATCCTGCACATCTCATTCCAAATGTCCTTCCTCCAGTGAGTCTTCCCTGATGCTCCCCTTTTATAAGCTCTCATGGTACCAGGCACCTCTCCTTTGTAACTGCCCACAGTTACAATTTTACCGCAATTTGTGTGATGACAATGGAGGAGGCCATCCTCCCCACCAGGCCATAGGTACTGTGAGCATGGGAAGTGGGACTCTCTTGAACTTAGGACTCTCTCCTGCATCCTAGGGGCCTAGTGCAGTGCCTGGCATAAATACCTGCGGGATGAAATGGTGGTGTGGAGAATAGAATGGAGAACAGAGCTTGAAGTAACAGGGTTCTTCAGGGGCTGCTGTCATGGCTTGAGTGAGAAGTGGCACCTGGAACTAGGGCAGGTGTAAGAGACCTAGAGAGGAGGGTTGTCATGGAATTGACGAGGATAGGAAATTGATTAGCAGGGTGGGATGCCAGAGGAGTTGTGACCTAGCAGGAGGACTCTAGGCTGCTGCCCATAATTGGGGTTTGGGCCAGGGGCAGGAGGGGCACGGGGCCAGGAGCAGATCTAGGAAGTGGGAAGTGAGCTGGATGTCACGCTGTGGCAGGTAGGTCGCGTGGGCCTGGAAGGAGCTTGGGACAGGGAATGATGGGGGTGGGGGTGAGAGGTGAAGAGGACAGGACCCCAGGGAGGCCCACAGGGAGCAAACAGAGAGGGGAAGGGTCGCTTTTCTGAACTTCAGCTTCTTCAAAAGTGGGCAACACTGCCAACCTCATAGGATGATTCTGAGGCTAAGTGAGATCATTTCGGTATAGTCTTTCGCAAGTTGCCTGGCACAAAGTAAAGGCTCCATAAATCGTCATCATCCCCATCATCATCACCATCATTATCATCATCAAGATCCTTGACTGCATTTCCATGCTGAACTCAGAAGCCTCGAATAATCAGATAATGAAACCAAATCAGTGGCCTGAGGCCTTGAAAGCAGTCACATCTTTTTTTTTTTTTTTTTAAGATTTTTTTTGGGGAATTGGGGGGATGGGAACAGTGCTGGGGAATTGGGGGAAGGGGAACAGACAAGTTGCTGTCCTTTTGTTCTTCAGTCTAGTTGTGGAGGACGTTGCTTCACTGGCCCAAGTTGGCACCATCATTGCGCTCTTCCCGGGCGAGGCAGATCAGTCGCCGGCTTCTGGACAGCCGCTCACTGCGGCTGCTGGCCGCTCACGCTGGCTGCTGGCTACACACGGTAGCCCATGGCAACCCACTGCCACAGGGGCTGCAGCCCACGCCGTCGCCGGCGACTCACGGCAGCCCAGCTCCAGGTTGACCTGTTGTTCAGCATCTTAGCTGTAGAGGGCAGTGTCACTGGCCCTCATATGTGGGATCCGAACCGGGGCCCTCTGGCGTCCCAAGCCAGCTCTTAACCAACGTGCCACTCGGCCGGCCCAAAAACAGTCACATCTTTAGTGGACTCCTGGCTGTACTTGTTCTAAAAGTCTGAGAGGCATGCAGGAGTTCTAGAGCTGGGAGAATCCCAAGGTCATGGGCCAGCCCTGGTCAGCAGGTAGACACCTGCTCCATCATGGGCAGGGGCGCCGGCCTCTGTGGAGATGTCTGGGATACACCTCCTCTGAGCCACCCCAGGAACTTTCAGGATCCTTTCTGTCCTTAGACTTTTCATCCTCACCCTCACCCACCTGATTTAACCAAATTAAATAGGGCCAAGGAAAACAAAGCTCACTGAGAAGGAGTGAAATACCAAATGGGGCCTCTGCGACGCCATGTGTGGCTCCTCCCAGCCCTAGCCTTCCTTGTTCAAACCTAAGACACCTATCTTTCTGGTGTGACCCAGGAAGTGGGCTTAGCTGAACAAGGATGTGGCTTCTGGGTGGGAAGGGAGGACCAGTGATTTTGTTTTCTTATGTGGTAAGAGGGTTCTCACAGAGGAAAGGAGGCAGGCCCATCAGGCTGTAGAAAAAGCCACAGGGGCTGCCTTAGGATCTGGGTGTAGTTGTAGCAGTGAGCCTTGGCTTGGGGTCTGGAGGGGCCTGGCTGATCTGCTCACACCAGCTCAGTGTGGCCTGGGCCTTGTCCACCCTCTCAGGCCCTCGGTCTTCACTGCACCATCCCGTGGTTCTGCATTGCTTGGTTCTGCCTCTAGCTGTCACCAGCCAACGAGGGGCATGCTTGATTAGGGGTCCCCACAAGAGGTCCAAACCCCTTGAGTCCTGGCCAGTTCTCCAGGAGGAGCTGTCACCCTCTCCCCGAGGGGGGCTGCTGGGGTGCAGGCTTCACTGGGGACCGGGTATGGTCTGGAAGCCCAGGCCAAGGCCCCCTCCCCAGCCCCCGCCCCTCCCTGGAGGGCTGCCAAGGACAGCCTACCTGAGGTCTGCCACCCTCTCTCTGCAGTCTCGAAGTAGCGTGCAACAGGGGGACCTGGATGGGGCCCGGAGGCTGGGCCGCCTGGCCCGGATGCTCAGCATCACATTCATCATCATGGGGATCATCATCATCATCGTGGCCACGACTGTCAACTTCACAGGTGAGGCTCAGTCACACACCAGCTTGCTTGGCATGAAGACTGCTAAGGGTGTAGCTTGGCTCCCTGGGGCAGGGGCAGTGGTGGGGAAGGTAAGAGCCTATGGGGGCCATAGCTTGTCCTTGCACCCCGGAAAAGCAACCCAGTCTCCAGCAATGAGCAGCTGAATAGGACTGGCTGTCTGACTTGTCTTATGCCTGAGTGGATCAAAAGGAAAGGGTGAAGTGGGGGGTGGGGGTGGGCGGGGAAGAGCAGGGGCCTAGGAATCAAAGGCTTCAATGGCCCTGGGTCCTGGGTCAGTAGCTGTCTGGTTGAGCATCACGGTTTTTATGTCTAAAGTACTAGGAAGAAGCCTCCAGCACAGAGGCTTTTGTGAATGTCACCCGAGATCATGGATGTGACTGTCTTTGTCAATTGTGGACTGACCACACCACCATCCCTGCTGAGACAGTTGGGACATGCCAGAAGTAAACAATGCATGTGGTAGAAGTCAGGAAGTGGCACTTTTGTAAGCACCCAGAGGTGGCTCAGGGAAGTTATCCAAACAGGGGATGATTTTCAAGGGCGACTGGTAGCTGCTCGCGAGGCCCGTGCAGCTTCTGGGATGCGCGAGTCAGCCCTGCCCATCTCCCTCCCTTCGCACTCTCTACTGGGAAGCCCGGAGGGCTGTGCTGCTGAGCCTGGGAACGTGTCAGAAATGCAGAACCTCAGGCTCCACTCAGACCCACTGAATCAGAGTCTGCATTTTCCTGAGATTCCCAGCCCATTTATTAAAGTTTAAGAGGCGCTGGTCTAGAGTACGGAGTATTCAACGCGGGACAGAAAGCCTGGGGTCAGCCATGGGGTCAGGGGCAACCTTCGCCTCTGAGGACAGGAACAAGATCAGGTTTGTCATTAGCCGGCCTGGGTTCAAAAGCCACGTCCTCCACTTTCTATCTGCCTTGGGCTGGAGCCCATTCTGTGATCTCCTTGAGCCTGATAGACACGTAGGTATGTGAGAGGCAGGAACCCACTCTCTCAGGGCATTAGCCTCAGTATCACCTTATGATGCCTCAGTCTTTTTTGTCTTCCTGCTGCCTGTTAGTTTAGCCATGACATTTTTCGATGGCAAGTGATAACTAGGGAACTCAAAATGGCAAAGGGCATTGTTTAGCTTTCCTTAAGAAGTTCAAGCATAGATTGTTTTGTGTTCTGGGGTCACATGCCCAGCTCTGAACCAGTCACCCAGGCTGCAGTCCTCTCTCTGGCAGGAATTCGGTTCCACCAAGAGCCCCAAAACAAATGAACCCTGTGACCATTTCTCACCAGGAAACAACCCCCCAAGTCCTCAAAACAGGGACCTGAAGACCCCGTGTTCTGAGCTCTGATCTGCCATACTGTTCTTCCCTTTACAGTTCCGAAGTAATACAAGGACCCAGGGCTCTGTGCTAGCGGAGGCCGGCTGTGGCCAGATGGAATGCTCCCAACCCAAACACCCCACATACCACGGAGGACAGCACAGTGACAGCCCACCTGTCCCCGAGCTCCAAAAGCACAAACTTGGAGGAAAACCTCCAAGTCATTCCATTGTCAGCCCATATCAGATGGGAAAAACGAGAGGAAGAAAGGAAGGAAGGAAACTCAACTTATTATGAAACCAGTGAATAATGGGATTTCATCTCATGGACGCAGCCCGGCAGTTTGACCCCAGTGTTCTGGCCTGTTTCTCATCCCCACAATTTCCTGGCATCAACCGAGCAGCATCTACTGCCAAAAGGAGAAGAAACCAGCCCTACAAACAGACGAACTATGGTGGGCAGAGAAGCAGCAGACTCTCTGCATGACCAGGAGCAAAGATGTGGGACTTCCTTGTATTTTTCTTGGGATGAGGGGTGAGAAAAGACTGTTCGCATGCCTTGTGCCACTCGCCTGCTACCATCCCAGCCGGAGCCCTGAGCTCAGAGGCCGAGCTGCTGCCCAGCACATGCCCTGGAACCTCCGGCACCCAGATATGCATCTGCCCTGGAAAGAGGCGACAGCCACACATAAATCCTCCATTGAAGGGTGGAGGCGCCAGTAGGAATTGTTGCTGAAAACAGGAACAGGGACAGCATGACCCACAGACCTCTTCCTGAACTTTTTGGCCTTGGGAGCATCTCTGCCAAGAACTATGGTCCTGGCGAGTCTCCCAGGATGACCCAGTCCATCTTTTGCTCCCTACCTGTGCGGTAGCCTGGGACACCAACCAAGGACTTTCAGGGCCTGACTCCCCCAACCCGCTTTGGTCAGCCAGTGAGGAGGAGCCGGGGCCTGAGCTCTCTCCTGCCCCCCTCTCCCACACTGTCGCCATGCAGAGTGGCTCAGATGGGGCTCCTGGCTCCCAAACCAGCCGCATCTGATGCTCTGCCTCACCCTGTGCCCCTGGCCAACCACAAACAGCAGAGGCTGTCCCTGGAGGAGGCTTTGGGGTCACCCCTGGGGGGCACTTTCCAGGGGCTCCTAGGCCTTAGCAGTGTTTGTGCTCCCTAAAAGGGAGTGGGCAAGAAAGTTCTCACAAAGGTTTGATTTTTCTTGGTCTAGAGAATTCCAAGACAGAAGGAAGAGCTTTGTTGAAGGATCCAGTCTGTGGGGGAATGGGGGGGCCCTGGGTTTGGGGATACACTCAGATGCCCGGAGGCAGGGGGCTAGACACCACAACCTTTGTCTCAGGACCTAATGGGATACCTGAAAGGACCGAGCAGGACCCCTGGGCCTCCTGCCTGGCTTTTGGTCCCAGATTCTCCCCGGACTTCTCTCTGCTACAGGCTCTGCCCACAGGGGCCTCCCCTGCACCCACCTCCCCCACTGGCTTTGGCTCCCAGACCCTTGGAGGGGGATACTCCAGGTTTTCTTGCCCCGGGAGGCCCTGCCTAGCAGCCAGGTTACTGCGCTCGATGGAAGGGCAGGTTCCCAGCCACAGGCAGACTGGCCCCAGGTTAGCCAAGACTGTTTCCCCTGTACTCATCCAGGACCCTCATGCCTCTTCTTGGGCACCCCCCCCTCCTCAGAGACCCCTGGAAGGGAATCTGTTAGCACAGAGGCTCTGTCTGCCAGGATGGGCTCTGGGTCCTGAGTGCATCCCTGAGTCTCCTAGGAGTGGCCTCGTGACCACCAGGAGGTGGGGGTGCAGGGCCTAGGGGCACTGGTAGGATCCCTCTGGGACAGGCTTTCCTGAGTCAGTCCCCCACCAGGGAATAAACTCAGCCTCTCCCTACCCTAAAGGAGGGGCTGGCTGGGTTTGCTTTATGGCAACTTTCAGGCAAAAATAGAGATGTCCCTATTTATCAGAGGAATGTGGGATGAGCGCAGAGTATTTGTGTCACTTGCAAGGTCAGGTCAGGCCAGGGGAGACATGAGGTCTATGGAATACGACGTGCATAGGGCCCAGCTCTGGAATGAGGGTCAGGCATGGACAGTTTCCCACCAGGCCCCAGGGGTCCCCAGCTTCAGCATTTCAGGGAGAAATGAGAAGCAAACCAATGTCTCATAGGAAAAATGATGGCGGAGGTGGGACTCTGCAGACTGTCGCACACACACCCAGACCTACCCTGCCCCCTGCAGTCACACCCACACAAACAGATGCCGCCACGGACTCACTCCCACACACACACACACACACACACTTGTTCACACCAAAAACCCAGTTGAGAAAGAGAGAAGCCACCAGCAGACAGCCACAGAGCAGGTACACGCAGAAACATTCTTCCATTCAGGCAAGAGCAACTCGAGAGCTTTCGAGTCGTACCAAGGACGTAGCTCAGAGGTTTCCAAGGTATGCAGAAGTAGCAGAGGCCCCAAGAGATGGGTTCCTCTGGCAGAGAGGAACACAGGGCTGTAGGACAAGAAACCTGGCCGAGATAAGACTGGGAGGAGACCCTGCTGTCCCAGCTCCATTGTAGGTCCAGCTGCTGGCTTCATAAACACAGTGGCCCCGGCTCGGGGTGCTGACCCAGCTTCTTCTGTGTCCCACGGGGAGCAGCAAGAACTACCCCTCACCACGGCTGGCACCCCACTCCCCAGTTCACTCCTCTGTATTTCTCAGCATGGAAAGAAATAAAGCTGACCCTCCATGAGCACCGTGGGCATGTGTGTTTGTGCTGCTGGGGTCAGGGCTGAGAGCTGTGCACTGGGAAGCCTGGACACCATGGCCAGCGCATGGCATGCCCTGGGCAAGTCGTTGGTCCTGTCTGGGCCTCGGTTTCTCTGGTGAGTAAGGCTGGTCTCATCTTCCCTTGGTAGTTCTTTCCGCATATGAAGAAAGATCTCAGGGGTGCAGAGAAGGGGGCAGGAAACCAGCAATTGCTGATATCCTGGTGCATGCTGGGCATTTTACATGCACTGGTAAATCCATGCGGCAGTCTGATGGGGTTCCTAGTGTTATGCCTGGGGTTCAGATTGGTAAAGTGAGGCTCAGCAAGGTTCAGGGACTTGTCTCAGGTTCCACCATGCCTGGCTCACAGAAGGCCAGAAGGCACTGAAAGAATGCTGGTGCACTGACCCCCATCTCTAGGTCTGACCCCAACTTTGGCTTCTTGCTGCCATGCTCTGTTGCCCAGAGAAAGCCCTACAGAAGAAAAGTGAGAGGTAGTTTTATGTAGAGGAGAAGGAGGGCGATCCATTTCCCAGGCTGCACGGTGGGGCAGGCAGGGGTTGCTTGGTTGACTGTGGAAGGCGACAAGGGCCTCAGGAGGGCAGGCCACGAGGGGAGGTGGGTGTGGGCAGAGCCGCCAGGCTGGGCAGCCAGCGGGAAGGGAAGGAACTGCCATATGGCCATGATGAGCTGCCAGCACTGAGGGCAAGAGGCTAGGGGAAGGAGAGGTGCGGGCACAGGGTTGGGGTGGGGCAGGGAGGGAGGGAGAGTCACGGGACCCATGCAGTGGGGCAGAGTGGATCAGGGTGTGGGAGCTGGGCTTCAGCCCGCCTGGGTTCAAATCCTGCCAGGCCACTTATTAGCTGAGTCCCCTTGGGGAAAATTTCTTCCAGCCAAAATAGGGGTCAGGGGGGCCCTTCCCACGTGCCAGACGCTGGGCTCTGTGTTTGGTGCAAATCATCTCACTGAATACTCACAGCACCTCAGGAGGCGTGTCATCCCATTTTCCCGAGAAAATGAAGCTTCGAGAGGCTCAGTGACTTGTCCAAGGTCATACAGTCAGGACGTGGCGAAGCAGGACAGTCCTTCACCAATGCTTTGGTCATAGGAGCCTCCCTCGCCTTATAAACTCCGTGAACTATTCCGAGGGAGCACTGGGAGAGTCAGGTTTCTCTATGGCTTTTTGGTTCAGGGCTGCACCATGACATTTTCAAAGGCATTTTAAGCACCACCTGGGGGTCTAAATTAAGATGAAACGTCACCCATGTAACGCTGATTTAATGGCGCTCAGGTGAACAGCCACCTTCTATACATAGAAAACTGCCAGGAACAATCACATCACTTTGTTGTCTAGCTTGGTGGCCCGAATGTTTTTTTGGCATCGTTTGTCAGACACAACCCAATTTTAGAAACTTTACAACGGGGAAAGGAGGGGACATGTGCTTTAGAATCAGTAAGGGAAACGTTGGCGCTTCCACAATGCAGGAGGCCTCAAGTGACAGATGGCTGTGCCCCGGGACAAGCAGCCTAGCCTCTCGGAACCCTGATTCCCTGCCTGCAAATGTCGTGATAACCTGCTCTGCACACCTGCAGGGCTGCTGGTGGTCTGATGGCACTTCCTGGTGAACCGTGAGGGCTGGAGACTCGTGGGGGACACAAATAACAATTTCCCGGGGCACAGCCTAGAGAGCACCCCAGAATCTGGGAGGCTCTGGGCACCCCAGGCTGACCAGCAGTCCCTGCTCTCTTCCATGCCCAGCCCGACCGGCCTCTTCCAGCTCCCTGACACATGACAGGAGACAGGAAAGCTCTCTGGCCCACTGCCCAAGTCTTTCTCTCATTGGCTGTGTCATCTTAAACAGGCCCCCAGCCTCTCTCTGGGCCTCCGTCTGCTCAGGTAAAGGAGTGAGCTGAGCTGGCCTCGAGCCTTCTCAAGCCTAGCTGCGCATTGGAATCACCTGGGAGCACTGAAAAAATGTTGATGCCTGGCTGCCATCCCTAGGGAATCTGGTTTAAGTGGTTTGGGGTACGGCCTGAGCGTCTGGATGTTTAGCTTTCCAGGTGATCCCCATGGTCTTTTGAGGTTAGGATCCACTGGGCTAGACTCCAGAGCTTTGCTGCTCAAAGCGTGGTCCCTGCACCATTAGCATGGGCATCGCTGGAGCTGTCAGAAATGCAGAAACTCACACCACACCCTGACCTAAAGGCTCAGAAAATCTGTCCTTTACCAAGATCTCAGGTGGTTCACTGTGCTTTAAAGCTGGGTAAGCTCCTGGCTAGGTGCCTGAAGCCGAGGAGGGCAGGTCTGCCTCAGCTTTGCTGCAGACTCACCTTAGGCACACCTTCTCCAAGGTGTCTTCGATCTCCTCTCTAAAAATCATCAGTTTTCTTTCTTACTTACTACAAGGGTCTATTGTAACAAATTGAGAAAATCTAGGCAATACTGAGAGGCAAAGAGGGCACAGTGAGACACCCCAGGTAAGTCTGGGGTCTCATAGCAGAAGAGGTTTGCACCCCACTTCCCAGAGGGTTTGCCAGTGAGGCTGCAGCATTTGTGAAGGCGGCCTCTGTGTGTGTGGTCAGTGAGTGTGCCCCCAAAGTACATTTTTTCAGGGAAGCATGGACCTTTCCCCTTCCCCCAGCCTCTGGCCCCCGACTATGGTCCTGCTGGAACCTGCTCAGGGATGGAGAAAAGTCAAGCAGGTGTCTTAAAGCTGCTTGGATGGAGACTTCTACTCACAACCAAAATTAATACCCTGGTTCTCCTGGGTCTCCAGGCCCCAGATCCTAGGCCTGGGAAGAAGAGCAGAAGAAGGGACCTTGAGAAACTGTGATGTCTCTTGCACCCTTGTCCTGTGGCAGGAATTCCTATGCCCACGGTCAGTTCAGGTACATACAGTTCCTTTTTGCTGACCACCAAAACAGGCTCCTCCAGACAGAGGAGCTATGGAAATTGTAAAGGGTCCCCTTCCTGGGTAGGTTTGCAGCCTCATCCCAGCCTGGTGCCCTGAGGACAGCTGGATTTCAGAGGCCAACAAACAGAGGCCTGCCATACCACTCCATTGCAGGAGGGCTGCAGAGAGACCCTCCCTGGAGCCAGGGGCAGAGCAGGTTTGCTGGAGGCTGGGCCCTGCCAGGGCTTCTGCCTCCTGCATTATTAATCTGCCCTCTGGCCATGGATATGAATAATTCATGAGGGGAAGGAAGGGCTGAGGATTGCAAACTGGAGGCATCCGGGCTCCTCCCCACCTCCTGGCTCAGGGCTTACTTTGTATAACTGGGCTTCTGCGGAGGCCCTGTCGATGAATCTCAAGTTTCTCCTCCTACCCACAGGTCAGGCCCAGGAAAGGTCTTGCCGGTTTGGGGTTGCCATGAACCTGTCTGAAACCAGATAGACCTGCCCGCAGCCCCAGGAGCCGGTGCCCATCCTTGCCATGCTTCTGGTGACTCAGGACTCAAGTCACAGGGCCTGATTCGCACACTGAGCCCTTTAAGCTCTCTGATGAGGTGGAATGTTCTATGCACGAGAAGGACCTAACATCATCCTGACCTGCAGAAACTGTGCAGTGAACATGAATTGTTATTAATATCATTTATAACAAATGGTGGCGTCTTGTTGCCAAGGTCTTGGCGAAGGGCTGAGGGCACCAGCTAGGAAGGGGGTGAGTGCTGGATGATGGCTGAGCCTGCTTGTGGTGGGGTACAGTCAGAGCTTCAGGGTTGTGGGACCTCTGGATGTGGGGGTGAGTGGGGTTGGCGGTATGGGACAGGAGGCGGTGGCGGTGGTGGGGAGGACACTGAAAGAATTACTCAGGATTCCTACAGTGACTTTCCCTCTCTGACTGAACTTTTCCAAACGAGTCTCAGGGCCTTCAAAGTGGCAGGGAAAGGCAGGGGAGCGCCCCAGTGCGGGGAAGAGACTACGGGTATTGGAGTCCATCAGCTTAGCCCTGATGCTGGGGATCTCAGGCTCAGTTCTGTTCAATAGTCCTATCTAATCCATATTTATTAAGGGTGCTGTATGATGTACAATCTCAGGTATGCAAGAAATGTTTTCTTCATAATCAGATTTATTGTAATTTCTCCTTTGCCTCTATTCGGCCCTGGTGGCAGAAGCTTAAGTTCAGTCAGCTCAGAGTTCTTTCCCCTTTCCTGGGGATTACAGCAGGCTGAGGTGTCCAGGGCAGGGGTGGCGACAATCTGGTCCTCACTGTAGTGGCTATGACATCCTCATTCTGCCACCCTTAGTCCCTGCAGGTGGCTGCTGAGTCAATCTTCAGTCCCCAGTTCTGTCCCAGCTCTTGCTCTGCTGCTCCTGTACCTTCTCATACGCCATGGGGTCATTCAATTGTTTCTTCCCTGACTCCATTAAGAAATGTTTTGGGCTGAAGCCCTCTAAAATAGGGTAATTTTTTGGGGTCATTTAACCAGAAGCCCAGGGAGGTGCAATGCCTCCATGAAGTCTTCATCCAGGTACCTTCAGTCTTCTTGCTTCACCATCCTAGCCTAGGGCTACCTAATGGCCACAGGATGGCTGCCACAGCTCCAGCCATTCCAGGTGGCAAGAAGGCGGCAAGGGGAGGAGGGCCAAAAGGGCATGTGAAAGCTGAGGAGGTCCCTTTTAAAGAGCTTTCCTGGAAGTCCCATCTAGTGACTTCTGCTTTACATTCCGACCACATCTGTGTCACATGGCCACCCCTAGCTGCAAGGGAGGCTGGAAAATACAGTCTTCTTAGCTGGGCACACTGCTGTCCCCAGGACAATCAATGTTCTGTGAAGAAGGAAGTGGGGACAGATACTGGGTAGCAACCAGTGTTTCTGGCCACATTTGTTAGGTGGGAACACAGAAATTCTGTCAGGCTGTCCCAGGTGCTGCCTGCCCAGATCCACTGGGTAATGCTGTCTTCTCTAGGTTCTCCTTTCTACCTGCTCAACCAGCGACAGGTACTTAGGGCCCCTCTGTTCTTGGATCCT